CTGAACAAAATAATGAATTTAAAATGCCTCTCAGAGAGACACACTGCTCAAAGTCAAATGAGAAATGTGTAACATCCAGTGCAATTAATGAATTTAAGTCAAATACGAATGTAAAATGTGTGCAGCTGGCTGCTCCTTGTTTGCTTGATGAGCATAAAAAAGAATTCCGAAGTTCTTTTGTAAATGTTGAGAAGGAGAACTCCCCTGCTGGCCAGGTCTACTGCTTTGATTCCCAATTTCAATCGCAGTCACTGAGTAATGAACAATACAAGATTAACTCTTCTGGTCATCAGAGATTAAAAAGGGTGTTTTCAAAACAACATGGAACTCTTGGCAGTGAAAGTCTTCAGGTAACAAGCCGAGCTTCATGTAGACCGACAAGTTTACAAAGCTCCAAGTTGATAACAGAGCTAGAGACATCGGAACAAGAACATGAATCCAACAGCAGCATTGGTGATTTCTCCCCACCGTCAGACACGAACCACCAGATACATGTACAATCCCCAACGGACCCTTTACTTCTCTCCTCCTGGGGCTTGCCCGAGCAGGTCCTGGCCCAGTACCACCGCCGCCACATCACCCAGATGTTTCCCTGGCAGGTCGAGTGCCTCACTAAGGGCAAGGTGTTGGACGGGGGAAACCTGGTCTACTCAGCCCCCACCAGCGCTGGCAAGACCCTGGTGGCCGAGCTGCTAATCTTGAAGAGGGTATTGGAGACCAAGAAGAAAGCCCTCCTGATTCTGCCGTTCGTCTCTGTGGCAAGGGAAAAAATGTTCTACTTGCAGGTGAATGAATTGTGCCCTACAGTGCACATGTACAGGAAAAAGGGCTCACATGGTACAGTGTAGAAAAGTACCTGTAATACTTATTGGCTTAAGGTTTGTCTCTGCTCATATATTGATAGAAATCTTTTGTGAAAGTTGGTGGCTCCCCACTGAAATACATGCACTGTTGTTCTTTGGTTTTCAAGCTGCTGATAGTATCTGACAGCGAGAGGAGAATGTTATTTCTCTAACTTGGTTCAGAACCATAGCCGAAATGGTATATAACACTCTTGTCTTGCCAACTTTGTTAANTTTGATTTACTCAGTGTATTTATTTGGGCTTTGTAGGGCATGTTTCAAGATGCAGGAGTCCGTGTTGGTGGGTACATGGGTAGTGAGTCACCTACTGGTGGGTTCAAGGCAATTGACCTTGCTGTGTGTACCATTGAGAAAGCTAACAGTCTTGTAAATAGACTACTGGAGGAGAACGAAGTCCATCAACTGGGTGAGTCATTGTCATCTTTGTCATGTGTCTATTGCCATTTTTATGTTTGTCATCATTCATGTGCTGCGACTCTCTCTCTTATGGTCATGGCCATCTTTGTCATTACCATCTTTCTTCTCTTACAGTGCCATTTATGTACTCCATCATTAATTATCAACACTCTTGTCATCTGTGTAAGTTTCTTCACACATCTTTCATATCATTTCCATCACCATTACTATCAATTTCAGTCACCATCTACATGTAGTGTTACCATGACAACTGTCTTGAATGGTCACTTACATGTACATTGCTGTGGGCAACAAGAATCCATCACCAACTTTCCTGTCCCTTTTTGCCCCTACCATTTACTCAGGCATCATCGTGGTTGATGAGCTGCACATGGTGGGAGATGCCCACAGAGGGTATCTCTTGGAGTTGCTCCTCACAAAGGTCCGCTACATCACCAAGAAGGCACACCACGCTGCAAAGACACCACAGGCAGCCACTGTGGATAAAAGGCAAGCTTTTGAATCTGTGGCAATGAACCTGTTTGAGACAAAATAGGAGGGTACTATTTGGTTTAGGTAATATCTTTTGTGTTTAGGCCAAGTTTCTTCCTTCAAATAGCACCCTCTTGTGTCTGCCCTGCTTCTGAAAGGCCAGTTGATAATCCTTTTTTATGTGATGTTAAATAACCACGAAGGCCAGCGCATACATTAGGCAATTGCAAAAACAAAGTGACTTTGGCGTCCTGAAATGAATTCAGCAAATTTCACTCAAGTTGAAATGTGTTCAAATTTTTCAAATTTGCAGCACTATCCGAAGTCATAAAATTACATTCACAGCAATTGTGACTTTAGCTGTCATCCTACAAGATCCTCAAAAATGTCTCTTCAGTATCAATTCCAGCAGAATTGTAAAAGATTTCAGGAAACTACACGTACATGCACATGTATGCATTTATTAGAAGTGATATAGCAAGGGTAGATTCCTGTCATTAGATCAGTGTGAGGCCTGGGTGTTGCTGGAATATTTTTCAGGAAAGCTAGGATATTTATCAGTAGCAGTAATTAAACCATCATTGCTGGAAGGGGGTGAATTCTGATTTTCAAGCAAATAGCCAATTTTCATCCCCTTTCCTCTGTTCTCATTCTTTTTGTTTTAACTTTTAATATGTTTTTCAGGGGGATTCCCCTTTTTGATACCCATAATGAGCAGTATTTTTTATCACCATCTGTCTAATGCTGGTCACTAACCAAGTCTACTAAAATCCTGTTACAGTGCAACGTGCCCCCTACCCACCAACTCAATCCAGATTGTGGGAATGAGTGCTACCCTCCCCAACTTAGACCATTTGGCCCAGTGGCTGGATGCCGACCTCTACCGCACTGACTTCCGTCCTGTGCCTCTGACCCAGTGCCTAAAAGTAGGTCAGGCGATCTATGACTCCTCCTTTACCAAGTTGCGGGAGGTGGACCCGCCCCAAGGCCCCACTCGCCGGGGGGATGAGGACCAGATACTGTCACTGTGTCTGGAAACACTGGCTGTTGGCTGTTCCGTCCTCATCTTTTGCCCAACGAAGAACTGGTGCGAGAAGCTGGCTGAGAACTTGGCCCAGGAGATTGCACGATTAAGTAAGATGATCCCTGATCACAGCAACGGTATAAGCAGTGTTTTTTGTGATGTACTGTATGTCAGGAATGCCAAATAAAGCCTTTTTGAAGTTATTTTGGTGATAGCAAATAGTGTCGTTCCTTAGAGTGATTAATTGTTGTATTCTTGAAGCAGATGAGTGCATGTCTGTAGATCTCAACAAGAAATCACTCCAAGATGTCCTGGAGCAGCTCAGGAGAAGCCCAGTGGGTCTGGATGCGGTCCTCAAGAGAACGATACCATGGGGTGTAGCCTACCACCATGCTGGTATGTTCATTTCTCTTTTTAGAGAAAAAAAGGGAATGGGATGGTCTGTCATATTTTGCTTGTGCATCTGTGTGGAGTCGACGTGCACCCCTGAGGCATGCTGGTGTGGGGTTTTTCAATGTGCATGTGCACGGGGTGCATGCAGAGAGCTCACATGTCATCAGTAATTGGTTGTGCGTCCTCAGTGTGTTCTGTGCCAAACTCACATGAACATGGTTAGCTCCAACCAGTAATTTTCATAGATAGCTGGAGATGACTAAGGGCCGGCGACCATTTAGACCCGGTTTGAAAAGGGCCCCCCGGTAAGCTCGCCCGGTTGCAAAAACCCCTTTCATACCGGCCTGGCTACCGGCCTGGGATGCTGGACTGGTTGTTGATCTCGAACTTCTCCATCCTGGGGTCTATTGTTTGCAAGTATTGGTACATGTAATCTATCCCAGAAGGAACCTGCTTGTGGTTTTTAATCCTTCAGCTCAGCACAATGTTTACACTAATCTGCTTAGACCCCTATTCATCTGTTCAAGCATGGTGGGGGAAGCCTTTCATCAGGGACTTTGAAATGCCAATGTGCAGACAGGCCTTATACCGGCCTGTAGTAGCCTGAATACCGGGCAGGCATTATACCGGGTGGGCTACCGGGGGGGCCCTTTTCAAACCGGGTCTAAATGGTCACCGTCCCTAAATGACCATCTTTGCCTTGAAAAAACTATGCCCTCTTCTGTCCCTTCTCATTTTGGACACCATGTCATTGATAGTAAGTTTCAGTAAAAATGCATTGTTCCCGTAGAGTCATGCGGTTGCTGGCCTGTGCATATGATTTGACTGTCGCATCTAAACCACACCTTTAATTCATTGCATCTATCTATACATATGCCACCCATCTGCAGGTCTGAGCTTTGATGAGCGAGATATCATTGAGGGTGCCTTCCGCCAGATCACAGTCAAGATCTTGGTGGCCACTTCCACTCTGTCCTCGGGGGTGAACCTCCCAGCTCGGAGGGTCATCATCCGCAGCCTCATGTTCAACAGGAAGGTACTGGACCCTCTAGTCTACCAGCAGATGGCCGGACGGGCAGGCAGGAAAGGGGTAGATACTGAAGGTGAGGAATGGAGCAACTGTGAGACTATATAAAGCTATTTCTTAGATGACCATAAAGTGTACTCGGCATTTTATTATCATTGTTAAACATTTCTGGAGATAAAACCAAGAATTAATTACTGTACACGTACCTCAGAAGTGCCCTAGGTACTGTTGCTCGTAAGCCTGAAACAATGTGTATAGATGAGACAATGAAAAGCACCTTAAGGTTTTAGGGATGGGAGGGAAACACTACGAGAAAATTCAGGTTAGAGTCCACGGAATCACGTTAGGACTGAAAACCTAATTTTCATGTTGACAGACCGGGGAATTGAACCTTGGGCTGCAGTGGCAAAAAGCTTCCACAACATCTGCATGATAACAAGATTTTCATGACTAGAGGATTGATATCATGCCTTGCTTGACTGACTTTGAAGGGGAGAGCATCTTGATATGTAAGCCCAGTGAGCGAGACAAGGCCGCCCGGCTTCTGCAGGCTCCTCTGCCTCCTGTACGGAGCTGTCTGAAGAAACAAGGACAGGCCTTGAGTAACTCCATGAAACGGGCCATCTTAGAGGTACAGCTTTATGCTAGAGTATTGGTGGATGTGATGGCCTTACAGTGGAATAACAGTTGGCAGATTGGAAGGCGCTAATTTGTTGTTATGGTTCTGTTCAATTTCTTACCACAACTCAATTAAAATATCACAAGATACCAGTATGCTGCACCTGTCAAAGAATGCACCCTCTGTATATAACAAATGGTTAAGACAATGCCAACACGTGTATTCAGTATGGACAAGTGTTTGTCTCCAGAATTCATCATTGTGCTTTGCATTTGTTATCTTTCATCTCTAGGTGATTGCCAGCGGGGCTGCTTGTACCCCAGATGAGGTGTCTTGCTATGCCAGCTGTACTCTGCTAGCAGTGGGTTTAACACCAGGTCCTACAGATCAAGAGAACGCACCTGCCAATGACGGGGGAAGCACAGCAGGGGCCATCCAGAAATGTGTCCAGTTTCTGCAGCAACAGGAGTTAGTAATACTCCAGAAGGTTCAAACCGGTGGTGTGTAATTCAATCTTGAGATGTAAAATCTGTCTTATAGCCCACAAAAAAATTGTTGAAAGGTGGTTTAGTGGGGTTATGTTGTAGAATGGGGATTCCACTGAAACTTTCATCTTGTTCTGTGCCATTGTGAATGAAGTCCCTTTGGAAATATTTGCTTTTCCAGACTTGATTTGCAGTGGCGACCTTCTCTTTTCTTAGCTGACAAAACATTATATGAACAAAGACTGTGGTCTGACATTCTGAGGAAATCTGAATTAACTTAATAAGCACTGTTAGGTTTTTACTTCAAAGTGCTGGGTGAAACCAGTGTGTGTGATTACTTTCATGGTTTGAATGCAATTTAGCACTGAGCGATCTAAAGAGAAAAGTTTCCCGTTTGATTTCTAGAAGTATTTCGGGAAGTATTCAGACCCACCCAGCTGGGCAGTGCTACCTTAACCTCTGCCTTGTCCCCTGACGAAGCCTTGGTGGTCTTCTCTGAGCTGCAGAGAGCTCGTAAGAACTTTGTCCTTGAGAATGATCTCCATCTCCTCTACCAGGTAAGCCTGCTGTTTAGCACTACCCCCACTCTTAACTTTCAGTCAGGTATTCAGTATCATACATCCATCCACTGCTTGGAATATACGTAGTCCTTTCTGATGGAATTTACAAACGGCTTTTAAAATTGTCTTCAGAGTTTTGATCAACAAGTTAGGTTTGTTGTTGCACCATGTATGAACTATGTCTCTTTAAGTAAGTGTTGGTTCTGATTAAAGCTGGTTTAAACTCGATGTTTGAGCAGCGTGCTCTGTCTGTCATTGCAGAAAGGGAACTTCTAAGCTCTGTTCATTTTCTTGGTGACGGACAGAGCACACTGCCTGAAACATTGAGTAACTGGTTCTATCCAGAACCAACATCAAAAGGAGATAAATGGTGTGAATAAATGGTATTTATAAATGGTGTAACCACAAGCCTAACTCATCACCTCACCATGCAAACCTTCCAAATGTCTTCAGAAGAGGTGTGGTTCTGAGAAGAACTGGTGAGTATCACCTCGACGTTTCGGACAGGATGCCCCAGCCATCCTTCTGAGGACCTCTTCTGAAGAGATTGATTACATGGTATACCCATAAACCTACAGCTCATGTATCTTCGAAATGTATCAAACATGTTTCACTGGATTTTATTTTTCAATGATTTGGCTGCTCATATTCCCTGTAAAAAAATTGGTTATAAAATATTTCCAAAGAATTCCCCTTGACATAATTAATATTTAGTTAGCATTGAATTGATATTTTGATGGTTGTGAGGCCGGGCTCTAAAAAAACAGAGATTTTACAGAAAAAATTGCTTTTACCGTCAGATATAACTGCAGGAAGGGAGATATGCTGCTATAATAGCATGTTATCCCGGGGCATCTTCAACTACCAGAATTTATTCCTCTTGAACTGACTTGAACAGGTAACTCCCATCTATGACCAAGGCTTCCAGCCTGACTGGTACCAGTTCATGTGCACCTGGGAGAACCTGCCCACCGACCAGCGCCGTGTGGCAGAGCTGGTGGGGGTAGAGGAGCGCTTCCTGATCCGGGCCGCCCAGGGTGCCCTCTCCACCCACAGTGCCCGGTTGCAGCACTCGCTGGCCATCCACAAACGCTTCTACACCACGTTGATCCTCAATGACTTAGTGAGAGAGATGCCAGTGGTGGTGGCTGCCCAGAAGTACGGCTGCGCCCGAGGGCAGCTACAGAGCCTGCAGCAGTCGGCTGCAACGTTTGCAGGTATGCTGTTTTAGGTGAATTGGTGATGGTCTTACACTTGTCCTTGTTAAGCCAGTGACTTGCTGACAAATTAATTACAGGCTAAAGTTCAAATTTGCCTCGTCAATATTAAACTAGCTCATGCGATGGCCAGATGGTGAAGACATTGGGTAGATGAAAAAGTTTCTGTACCTCTCACAACTTACAAGCGATGTCTCGGCAGTGAACATGGTGAATCACTGACAATGGCAGCAGGAGCTACAGACATTACCAAGAGGAAGGTTGCATATATTTGCAGTTTTGAATTACAAATGACTTGCTCATCAACATTCATCTGTGTTGGCACATTTGTGGAATATGTACCTGCTAACTTTTAAGTTGAATGTGACAGCATGGAGCAGACCTTGTCTAGAGAAACAATGAGTAGTTTGTATTCACAGGATTGAGCAATATAGTGTGAAAGTACATGTAAAACACACTGCACGTCCACATGTACTTGATTTCTGCTGTCAAACAGAAGATTTGTGCAGTAAGTTATTCATGTACCTGGTGCTGATTGATGTTTCTTTGGTCCGGACCTGTAGGTATGGTGACGACATTCTGCAGTAAGCTGGGCTGGACCAACATGGAACTTCTCTTGGCCCAGTTTCAGAGCCGTCTGACCTTTGGTGTGCAGCGGGAACTCTGTGACCTGGTACGGATCTCTCTCCTCAATGCCTTCCGTGCCAGGCTTCTGTTCAACAGTGGTTTTGCTTCTGTTGCTGCTCTGGCTGCAGCTAAGCCTTCTGACCTGGAGAATGTGTTACGACGGGCTGTACCATTCCAGAGGTACGACACAGATTGCAAATTGGGCATCTTTCATTGATTTAAACAGGAATCATTTTTTATGACTACAAATTTTGCATCGTCAGGTTAGAAATATTTCAATTGTCTCCATTTATTTTTGGGTACTCGCCAGTTTCTTCATTCTTGTGGAATTCCAACGTGCTGTCAAAGCATAAAGGAATAGGAAGTGTCCATGCTAATGGAGTGTGGGCTTGGGAGGTTTAACTGGATTCTCACCAAAGATCACAATTTTCATTTATGGCTGAAGTAGTGTTCAATCACAGCCAGTTATTTTCCATTATCTTCTGTGGTATAGTGTCATGTTTGATGCCATTCCCTTCAGATTAGATAGAAGGTAATGGCAGATTTACTCTCCAGCTTACAGTATATATCTTTGCTTAATTTTATTCACATGTAGACGCTGTTTTTCCATATCTGTTCCTTGTCCACCTGAGTTTAAATGCTATTTTACAATAGGCCTCCAAATTTGATAAAGAGTAGTCACTGAAAGCATTCTATTTATTTTTGCTGTCAGCTCACGTAAAGCCATCGACGAGCAGGAATATGAAGTTGAAGAGAGAAAGCAGTCTCGCTGCATCTGGGCCACAGGGAGTAAGGGCCTGACGGAGCAGCAGGCTGCCCTAATGATAGTCCAGGAAGCTAAGGATCTTCTCAAGGTAGACCTAGGAGCTCTTGGTGTTGAGTGGAAACCACAAGAAGATCTTTCACCAAGATCCGAGGATGACGGTGATAGAAGTCGAAACGAAATGAGGACATCACTGTCGAGAATTAAGCCTCCAAGGACTGACTGTGAAACAAATCATCAACCCTCATCTTTTGTCCAGGAAACAGCTGTGGGGATCAAATTGATGCAACAGGAAGGGACTTCTCAACCTAGAAGATCTGCCAATGATGCTGACAAGATTCAGAAGGAAAGGGTATTACAGGAAGTAACTCAGCTGCCTAATACCAACCTTTGTACATCTGTGGTTTGTTCAAAAGCTACTAACTCATCAACAGTAGCAGACTACAATGAAGACCTGCCAAATGAATCAGTTGGAACTCTAGGGTCTTCAGGATCCACCGAAAAGTGCCAGGAGGATGGGCCTCCACTCCAACCATCTTCCCTCGGTCAGACTGCTACTCTTGATACTGTAATGGAAAATGAAGCACCACTCTGTGCATCCTGCTCCCAAACAAAGCCACTAAAGAATCACAATTGTTCAGTGCACAAGACTGGTGCAGCTAGTGCCTGTGCTGGGGTACCGGGTCAAGGAACAATTTTAACAGTTCATGCTGATGTTCACTTTGATGCTTCATCTTCAGGAAAAACATGCGTCTGTGCTCCAAAGCCTACATGTAGCTCCTCCGCAAAATGTGAAATCTACCCTGAAAATGCATTCAAACCACGGGTACTTGCCCATGCTTCTAACGACAGTAGGAAGTCCAGTTTAGAGGTGCTTGATGGCTGCCATTCTATTATTCCAGTTAGTCTCCAGTCATACAATCAGTCAATGGCATTTACTAGTGAAAATTCTATTGACCAGATCAATGCCAATCAAGTTGTGGCTTCAGAATCACATGCACGTAGTGTCATCGAAGGGCCTGCCAAATGTTGTGCTACATGTACTCCCAAAGCAGCCAAACATCAAAACCAACAAGTTATCCATCAAACATCTCCAGAATTGTTTTCCTGCCCTAACAGTCCTCCAGTCATCCAAGGCGGGACTCCCAATCCAAACCATGATAATCCCTCCACCAAGAACCTTGCCCCAATATCTCCAGATTTTTCTCCTCTTGACTCCCAAATGCTTCATTTCCTAGAGCAGCAAGAACGTGCTCACCTTTCAGAAAAATCAGGAACTGGTTTTCAGAGGTCTGTTCCAGCGGCCCAAGAAACACTTTCTTCCGGCCTTCAAAACCAGAAGCAACCTTCTGAGACTACACGCACAAATGTCATGAATTCTGTGAAGCAGGAGCCGCACGTCTCTCTGACCTTTTCTACAGTCGATCCTGAGGTTCTGAGACTTGTGGATCACTTCCATGAAGGGGAGTCTAATAAAAAGGTTCAACAAGACCAGCAGCTGAAACAGGATGACGACAAAACTACCATCTCATCATTAAAGACCCATCAGTCATCACCGTCTTACTCTCCGCTGGATTCCCAGGCCTTGCTGTTCAATGAAAGCACAGCAAGTGAGATTGAGCCATCACATAGCCAGGCATCAGTCCATACAAAAATAGGGGACGGTGGTCTGCACTTTACATCCTTCCCAACCCTGGACTCTCAGGTTTTGAAGCTCATTGACGGATTTCACACCTCTAAAAACGACCTTGATGCAGAATCAGCCTCCCCTGCCTTGAAGTCTTACAGCAGGCAACAACTGGCCAATCAGGGCACCAGCCAAAGGCCAATACTCAAGAGTGCTCAGAGAAAAAGTATCGTGAAGAAAAGTTCACACAAGAAACAGAAGCTTGTCTTGACCTTTTGTCAGGCTGAATCACCATACTCTGAATTTTTCCAAGAGGAGGAGATGTCACTGGATCTAGCAGAAACTCTTGAGTGTTCCTTTGTCATTGATAAAACGGAGCCATTTTTGGAAGGTGAAAGCACTGCTGAAAATGCTTCCAACAAGCATCCAAACACAAATGTCCAACACCTTAAACCAAAGGGTGGTGATCCTTGTTGTCTGAGCTACAGACGGCAATCAGGCTGTGGCAAATGCGCAGAAGGTTGGGCCTCGGCAAGTGTAGGCAGAGAAGAGCCTCTCGTCTACTCGCAGCTGGAGGCTAACTTGGCTCTTCCACCCGAATGGAATGACTCTTTATCCTTTGATGAGGAGGGAGGGGCCACTGCACCTCTGCCCAAGTCAAGTCCTGTCCAGAATGCACAGGTTGACATTCGTGCGTCTGTTAGTGAATTTGCATTGGAGCCCGAGCAGGAACAACAGATCTTGCCCTCCAATGGCAATTTCAACACTTGTATCATAAAAACCTCTGCAAAAACCTCACACATCAGTGAAAAAGGCAGAAGGTCTGTCACAGCACTGAAGAAGAGGCTCCAGTGTAGGAAACCAAGAGTTGGGGAAACATCTGCCTTGGATGCCATCAGTGACCAATTAAGCCCTGGCACCATTGAAATGTTAGATTTCTTTGCCGGAGATTCATTTTCTAGCACGTCTTCACCAGCCACTGAGACTAAATGCAGGACTCGTTCTTGTAGAAAAAGCATTAGCCAAATTGGCAGCAGTGCTATACAGTCCAAATCAGTGAGAAGCTCTGCAAAACTTGCCACCACAAATTTCACTTCTGAATGCACTAGTGCAAAGACTCTCCTTGCACATGAACACTTGTCCAATCAGGGCACAGAACGGACCAAACCCACCAAAGCACAGCAGTTGAAAAGGAGAAGCTCTGAAAATGTTGAGAAACTAGCAGGAGAGGCTGTGGCAACTAAGAAGCCTTGTCAAGATCTTTCAAAAGAGAAAAGTCCATCTACTCATAAAGGATCTAACAGGGAAACACCAGACAACAGGAGAAAGAGTGATGGGGATTTCATTTCTCCTACGCCTCCTAAAGAGAAGTCAAACACTCCGAAGCTCCTGAAAGGAACTCCCAAGCACAGACCTTCAAGAGATCTCTCATTGAAGGAAAATACTCCGCAATCTTTACGTCCTAGAGAGAAATTATCAGGTCGCCAAAAGCAGGCTTCAAAACCATTGAGAGTTTCAAGAAACCTAGAGAGTCGAAAGGAAGTCCAATCACAGGAGAAAATAAAATCCCCGGTTTCAAGGAAGCAGGGTTGTTTGGGATCGGTGGCAGCAGCTTCCAAGACTCCACAGCTCAAATCTCCTCTAGGTCCACAAGATGATCTGAATGCGGCACTTGGAGAGTCACAGCTCAATCTCAAATGGGATAGTGACAGCAGCCTGGAAATTGAGCCTCCCACTCCTTTACGAGGCAAGCCCACTCCTGGAGAGCGTCACTGCACCTTTCCAAGACATTCGTCCTCTGAAGGAGAAGGATCTTCTGCTTCAGTCCAACAGACTTCTCCAAAACCTTCGGCCACCCAGGGTAGCTTCACTGTCATCGATGTCTGCTCCAGTAAGGAGCTCTTCCAGATGTTCTTAAAGGAGTGGGGCACTAAATCCAGGTACTCTCTTTCAGTGGCCTGTGAGAAATACCATCCCCCAGTAGAAGACAGAGGAATCGGAGGGAATATCAGACAAGGTAAATCTGTATACAGATATTAATCCTCCTTGATTTCCTTTCCCATTTTTTCACAGTCTAATAAATCAAATTGGTCTCAAATTAAGATAAAATGTTCAAGTTCACTATTACGCCACAGAAAATCTTAAACTGTGCTTGCGAAGTACATGTACATGTATTTCAAAATGTTTTTGCTGTTGTCAAACAGGACTATTTCAAGTTGTTCAGAGGAGTAAATGTTTATTAAATGTGCATTTGTTCTTATTACTTAAGCTGCCCCAAGACTGAAGGAGCATGATACATTGAATGGCTTCCAAGTTGGAGATGAGAGCTTGGTGGTGATTGGTCTGTCAATTTGCTGGGAGGACAAAGATGCCTACTTCATATCCTTCCAGAAGGAATTAGGCAGTGGTGGGTTAATTGTAATATTAGATGTAAGATAACCAGTGATGCTTCATGACATCTCTTTTGTGGTTGTGTTCATTCCAGTTTCTTTTTCATTTGTGCTAATTTCCTTTATCATCATTTCCATCTTGTAGTTTATGTACACTTTGAATATCTGAGGAAAAGAAGTGATTTTGAATTGTTTTTATAATTGAACAAAAACTGAACAAGCCAGTTATTAAAAAAAGGACTTTTTAATCACCTACATGTATATTGCCACATTATTTCGAGCTCCATTTCAAAGAGTCCATTTTTATTCATTTCACTGCTTCAGTTGATCCAGACGACAGCTTAGTCCAGCCTCCTCTGGACCCAACCCTACCAGTTGACCAACGCCTGCATGCAGTGAAGAAGCACCTGGAGTTAGAGAAGATATCAGTCCGAAAGAGGTCGCAACAAGTTGTCAGACTGGCATTTGACTGCAAAGGACATGTAAGAACATGACTTGTGCGTGCTCATGTAGTACCCATGCAGTAAAAGCAGGGAAATTTGTGGATGCTGCACAAATAAAAATCAAACGGATCTGACAGTGTTTACGCATTGGGGTTAATAATGAACATACATGAACATAAATGATAATGAACATACGTGTAAATTTGTTTTGTTCACCCAACACTGACATTGTATTTTGAGAAGTGCTGTTTACACAAACATGCTTTAACAGGAACTTAATTTTTTTGCCAGCTCAGTAACTTTTGCAATTTTTACTGCTGAGAACTGCTCTTCTTTATAAACGGTTGTGGGTTTGAGTTCCACCTGCATAGTATTGAAATTCTGAGTATTCCAAAAATCCTGAATATACTTTTACATATTTATTATATTTATAAAGGGCAAAACCTAATATTGAATTAGGTTTTTTCTGTTTCTTTTGTATGGTTACTTTTTACTGATGTTATAGTAAAACTGATGGTATTGATGCATATGATATGATGTTTTCCAGTACAAGGTGTTGAGTTGTAGTTGTGGTATTAGCCTTGGTAGTGGGTTGGCAGACCCTAAGGTGGCTCATTGGCTAATTAACCCTGGAGCTGAGGAGAGGAACCTGCACGGGCTGGTCACTCACTTCACACCCCAAGAAGCCACACTCTTGGAAGGTAAAGACACTATTTCGTCTGCACTAAAAGTTAAAGGCAACACTGGCAATTTATATTGTAGTGATCAGTTGCAGGGCAAGTCTCTGAATGGTGAGTATTTTTAACTCACTATTGACTACTACCAGCCGGGGACTCCGAAATCGGAGCCGTATGGTTTATATTCGTGGCCGGGGTCTGTGACAAAAGACCGTACTTCGAACAAAAGATCAGGCTGCTGGGCATTACCGGCATTTTACACTCTCAAAAGTGGTGATAATCCAGTGTTGTTTTGAAACCGTATACCAGGGTTTGGGGCATTGAGAGCAAGCGGATTATCACCGGGGACAAAAGCGCTCTACCACTGCAGCGATGAGCCACACAGCACCGCTGCACGCTAATATGGCCCCTATTGAAAAGAGGTCAGCAGTGCACGGAGCCAGGTTCGTGAACAAATGACAGTTGTATAACACCG